CGGCGTTGGTGTGTACATAATATTCAAAATATTTTATGTGTTCTGATGTTTTTTAAAGCATTGAAATGGCTTGAAAACTATTTTCAAATATAGTGAATCTCTAAAATATTGAGGTAATAAGAGCAATTCTGAATTTGTGCCTATTGGGTGTTTTCAACATATTGTAGAGGCACAACTAATAGGTTGTGCTTATCGACTCCATATGAAAAGACTTTAACGAAAAGTTATGTCTAGGACCATAACTAAGAGCTACGTCTAATCCTCAAGAGTTTCCTCTAACTCTAAAAATATGGATTATTTGGATGCTTTTAGTGTACAATGAAATCACCAAATACTTGGAATATTTCCAATGATATTTCTTATCCTTGTATCAGGTTGTTGGTTCACTAAACTGAATAGTGGAACAACATGATCTCCATTTTATCTCATAGGGAATTCGCCTGGACAAATGCACTGTATAGTGAGCGAATTTAGCCTAAAAGAAAGCAAATTTACTTGTGACTTGGAGACAAAACTTTCTTTTGTCTTAACCATAAATTCTTCCTCTTGTTCTTTGATGTAGTGCAGCCATTGTTGTCCACCATTCTTGAATTAGAATTCAAACAATCTTTAGGTTAAATTTTCCTATTAAACAATGGTTAGTACATGAAGAATCAAGCAAGAATATTTTTGTTACACACGAAAATGGTAGAAATGTTGCAGATTATTGGATTTAATGGAAAGGACAATGATAGGATACAATGGACCTTATCATCAAAGTAAGAATTATATTTTACTTGTGAATTGTGACATTCCAAGTTCAAGGTATGTATATATTTAATAAATACATGAACATAGTGATGAGATCTATGCCTGAGTGGAACATGGTTGTAGAATTCATGAACTTTTGCATATAAAAGAAATTTATTATGCATTATTTGTTGATTGCCCAAATGTGTGATTTCTATCAAAATAAAATATTTAATTAATGTGATGATTAATTAATAAAATGTATGTCATAAAAGGTTTGATAGAGAATTTGGTCATGTTTTTATCATACTTTAAAATGAAAAGCAAAATTGGCATTTGATATAACAGTAGTGCTTTAAGTGCATGTTATAAATTTTATAAAGTTAAAATCTGTTGGAATTTATTCTGTGTTTTGTTTGGCTTTGTCGACTTTTTGGTCGACTAGAGTAAAGTTGACATAGAAGTTGTCGTTCGTTGATAAGTCTGACTATTTGGTTTTGTCGACTTGTTCGTCCATAGAATTAAAGTTGACAGAAAAGTCAACATCCGTTAAAGTGTTTAGTTGTTTGGCCTCGTCGACTTAGTCGTCGCCTGAATAAAGTCAATAGAAAAGTCAACGACCGAAACCTATGAAAATCAAAATAAAATAAAATAAATTCTTGTGTGCAGAATTTTTGTGAGTGCATCACATATTAATTATTTGATTTTGGGTTTGTCAAATAAAGAACTTTGATCCCAATAAAGTGCTAATTTCGTGTATTTATGTTTGTTACATGGAATATTTAATTGTATAAATGAATTTGCAATTTATATGATAATTTCATATAATGCATAGTATAACAATAGTGATATAGTTATGAATTTATATCATATGTGTCAATATATGATTTCAAATTCATGTCTTACTATATGTTTGAATTGTTTATGGCAATAATTTAAAGTTTCCATGAGATCTCAAAGGAAAAAAAGGAGATTATATGTTTGGAAACTTGGAACTCTTTATATATAATAAAAGAATTTGAAGAGAATGAAAAATTCTCTATTAAAATTAAAAAGGAGATGATCCTTGACCTAAGTCCACATTGTGAAAAATGGACAAAGCATGAAGTCCATGTTCGAAATCATATCAACTAAAATAACAATGAATCAGGTATTAGGAAAACTACCATATTATAACAAAGAATGACAATAAGAGCTCAAATGTAAAACGCTTGTAACAAGAGAAATGGAGCTAATTTTTCCAGGAATATGAAGAAAGAAATCGTGACATGGTGATTTCAAAACTTCATATTAGGGAAGATGATTTCGTTGTTGGGTTGATTGCGAAGTTTGAAAGAACAGACTGGTTCTTCAATTTCCTAAATATGATCATATTAATTAATAGTTTGGATGTATTATTATTTAAATTATAATCACAAGATGAGTTAATGAACTCTGGTTAAGAATTAAAATTCTTAACAAGATTTAAGTCAATAGACTCGTGTGAAGAGATGACCCTTAAAATTTGAGTTAACAAACTCATAAGTAAGGACTAAATATTGAAAGACATTTAGTTCTAAGACTGAATGACTTAAAGGGATATGTATAAAGTCCAGAAATGATTACTTGCATTGGAACCTCAATTCAACGCTAGTAAATACTCTAGTCTTGAATTCAATGAGCGATAGTACAATGTACAAGTAATTAAGTACTACAATATTTATCCCAAAGTAGTTAGTGCTGTATAATTCCCACTGGGTATCCGGTTAAGAATTGACTCTTAACAAACTCTTGTAAATACCAAAATGGCGGGAGCATTAAGAAGTTTGCCTATATGAATGTCGGACTGAGCATCCACAAAGCTTGGAACTTGGCTTTATTAACATTCATGAAGAGATATAGGTACAAGACCTTACGTACCATACGCACTGGTAAGGTGCAGGCAAGTTGAGGAGAAAGAAACCTATGTGTATTGACAATAGTGGCTTGTAACATGTACGCACGGTTCAAAGCTAGTCTACCGGGTTGTACTACAAGTTATGAAACCAACACTAGGTAGTGGTTCAAGTCTAACGACACCATTATTTTATGCATGAGTTTTGTTGAAATTATTCTGGATCCATTTAAAAATTATTTTTATTATATTAAAAATGGCGGGGGAATTATTTTTAATATGTTGTGCCTATTGGGTGTTTTCAATATATTGTAGAGACATAACTAATAGGTTGTGCCTGTGGACTCCATATGAAAAGACATTAACGAAAAGTTATGTCTAGGACCATAACCAAGCGTTATATCTAATCCTCAAGAGTTTCCTCTAACTCTATAAATATGGATTATTTGGATACTTTTAGTGTACAATGAAATCACCAAATACTTGGAATATTTCTAATGACATTTCTAATCCTTGTATCAGGTTGTTGGTTCACTAAAGCGCATAGTGAAACAACATGATCTCCATTTTATCTCATAGGGAATTTGCCTAGACAATTGCACTGTATAGTGGGCGAATTTAGCCTAAAGGAAAGCAAACTTACTTGTGACTTGGAGACAAAACTTTCTTTTTTCCTAACCATAAATTCTTCCGTTTACTCTTTGATCTAATGCAGCCATTGTTGTCCACTACTCTTGAAATAGAATTCCAACACCTTAATCAACTCTTTATAATCTATGTAATGCAAGAAAACGATATAAAGGAGCAGTGTTCTTCCACTATTGTTTTGATTTCAGAAAAAATTAGCAGTGTATATATGTTTGTATACTAATTTTAAAACGACTTCCTCTAATTAAAAATTGTGAAACTTCTGCCAATCCTTGCATGCTAAGCTTGCGTCCATTTCTTCGATTGTTTTGACTACATTTCACGTTTGGACAACGTGTCCATCCTTGAATTACTTCAACTCAACTTGTACCTTCTGAATTAAGGAAAGTTTATTGTGACCATTCTTCATGACATTTGAACCTCTAACCTCTCCCCCATTGTTATATTCATGTTCTCATGTATTTACAGAATTCAAGTTGAATTGGCCTCCTTTTTCAGTCAAATATTAGAACTGTACTCAGTATGTCCTAAATGCAGGCGGATTTCATGAAGCAAAGATAAAAGCAACTTGTTGGGTGAATTATCTCTCACATGGGAGTAGTAAGTGAGTTGATTATTTTTTCGAAGGCGAAATCCTCGTTCTGGTTGATTGGTGAGACTGACTCCGACTAGACTTGTGATCTGGAAGAGAAAATCTCCGGGGTCTCCTGAGGATATACACTCCGATACTTAAGTCAGAATCAGGGTTTTTAGAGAAAGTGTAATTCTTGTATAATGCTATAAATTGGGTACCTTGATTGTGATTTGATCTACCCTATTTATAGGCATAGAATTACCTCTTGGATATCCGAATTACTATACACTATGTTTAGTACTACATTGGCCGACTTAAGTAAGTCGATTGGTCCACATGAGGTTGGCGGACCGAGTCCAATAGCAAGGTGTAGGTATGGACTCGTTAGTTTTCAATCCTAACTCTAACAAAAATTACGATGAATTCTTAAACGTTATTTATTATTTTATCAAGTATATATCACAATAGGAAAAAAAAAAAAACTAGAGTATGGTTCGTAGTTGAAACACGTTTTTTAGTACTATAACCTAGGGCAGTAATGCCACGAGTCATTAAAAGAATCATCTATCATTGAAATGTAAAAATAAAATAATAAATCAGTAAACACGAATAATATTTTCACGTGATTAGTAGAAGAACATCTACGGTGCAATTTCCTGAGATCGATATGACGAGAAACTAAATTTTATTTAGATTTATCTTGAGCTTCTTTCTATTTCATTTTTCAAACTCTCATTTGGATCTAAATAGTAAAATAAAAAGTCGAGCGTCAATGGCTAAACAATCATACTTCCCTCTCTGTTTGGATTTTCATTAATTTGTAATTCAAATTTTACTAAAACTGTTTGGGTAGTTTTATTGAGGCTGATGTGTTGGTGAATATATGGTACATTAGACGTTGAATTGAATAGCTTCATGAAGCATTTAAAATCATAGGTTAAGAACATCTAAGGTGCACTTAACTGATATCGATGTCATTTATACGTGAAACAGAGTCATAAAACAAAAAGTAGATCATCAATGGCCAAAGAGTAATACTCTCTCTATCCTGAAATTATTTTCTGGTTTGGATTTTTAATTATAGTTCAAATTGTATTAAAATTAATAATTCAAACAAGATAATAATTTTTGGACAGAAGTTGTATAAACAAAGGGACTAAATCAAACCATTATCATCACCAAGAAAACTTTGCTGCGTTTACTGCAATTAAATTTGATCTTCCTCGTTGAATTAAACCTACGAGCTATGATACATCACTCTATGATTTCAACTTTCAAGTACATATAGTAATTAACATAACTCAGAGGTTCAAAGGAGTTTTTAACTAATTTGACTTTAAAGTATAGAAAACTTTGTCACATCAGTACAAAAATCATGGGATTCAGCTACTAAGATCAGCTTTTACGGTTTTTTGCAAGGAAGAAGTGGAGCTCCGCACAATCCAGGATTGCCTAAAAACGCTTTTTCCGAGATTGGGACAGACGCATTGAAACGAGGAATACTTCCACTCAGATGATTCCCGGAAACATCAAACTCGTGAAGCAATGTGAGGTTGGACACTTCTCCGGGGATTCCACCACTTAATCTGTTGTTCGCGAGCAATAGAGCCTTCAAGGACGCTAGTTTTCCGATCGACTTTGGTATAGTTCCTTCAAGTAAATTGTTCGACAGTTTTAAGGAAGTAATGTAACCGAGGGATCCTTCGTCTCCAATGTTTTCTTCGATTGGACCAGAGAAATAATTGTTGGAAACATCAATGGCATCGTATGCGTAACAAAGTACCTCATCATAATACGCTCCCAGTATGGGTTTCAGCCCGCCTGAGAACTTGTTGGAATGAAGATCCAGGGTTGTTAGGGGGTACATATCCTGGAATTCTGCTGGAATAGAAGATTCAAATGCATTGCAAGATAAGTTCAGCTCCCGTAACTTGGTGAAGTTTGCTATCCAACTTGGCAATGGCCCCGTCAATTCATTTTCTGCTAAATTCAGCTTTTGCAAATTCGGTGAAAGTCTAGGTAGCCAACGCGGAAGCGGCCCTTTGATTCCCGTCTTTGCCAACGATAAGCTGGTTAGCTGTCTCAATCCTTGCATCCAAGCTGGTATGTTGATTAGTCCAAGAGGATTAAATGACAAATCCAGAGAATGTATGTTGGACTTTATATTTAAAAGATCGGAAGGGATTGGGCCGGTGAGCTTATTTCGAGACAAATCTAGTTCCGACAACCCCATATGTGGAATTGGATTCCCCAAGCTTGGAGGAATCTTACCGGTGAAGTTGTTGTTGGAGAGATATAAAGAATTAAGATTCGGCATGGTAATTCCCATATCTTGGGGTAACATTCCAGTGAACTTGTTGTTGTTCAAGTTTAGCATCATCATGGAACGAATTTTGCAAATTGACGAAATATTCCCCGTCAGATTGTTATCAGACAAAACCAAAATGTTCAGTGAAACGAAACTAGAAAACCAAGAAGTATCTCCACTCAGCTGATTGTGATCAAGACGGAGATCAGTCAGTTTGGATAACTTTCCGAGTTCGGGCGGAATAAAACCCGTCAGATTCTTTAGCTTCGTGAACCAAAGTGTTTCAAGGTAGGAAAGGTTGCCAAGAAAAGGCGATATAGTTCCAGACATTGGTACTTCGATAAAGGAATCATCATTACACACAGCCGGAGTCACTTTAAAAACTCTTCCTTCAGGATTGCAGAAAATACCGTTCCAACTGTTGCAGCAATCCGTGGTCGGAACCCATGATCCCAATGCATTAGTCGAATCGGAAGTGATTCCAGCTTTGAAATGCAGCAATGCTTCTTGATCAACAGGATGACAAGCATCCGATGAGTTTATTAGGAACAAGGTTGACAAAAAGATGATGCCCAAGGGCAACATCACCCTAAATGAACTTCTTCTCATATTGTTTTTTTGACTTTTGCTTTTCCCGTGTGTATAGAATGCAAGTTATGGATGTTTTTTGGTTGATTTGGCGCTGATCATCATCTTGTTTTGTTGTATTTATATGATGCGCAAATGACTTTATCTCTTCGTGTGTGACTTTTCCTTTTTCTTTCTTTCTTATCTCCTTCAAAAGAAAAAGTAATCAATTTGAGAACTGCAAAATCTCTCTTTATTATTATCCTAACATCAATCAACCATTTTTTTCTCCTCGGGAAATTGCTTTTTTCTATTGGTTTCTCCTCAATTCCGTAAAAAGAGTTCTTATGTTGAAAGGTGGTCTTGTTTTGTGGTGAAGTTAATAAAGGAATGGTTTCTTCAAAAGAAAAAGAAAAATAAATAAATCAATGGTAATCCCTGTTGTTTTTTTTCGTGGGTTGCTGCCATGTCAAACTGTAAATTGAAATCGTGTTTATAGAGTTTATTATTTTATCGATAAATTAAGTTATGAGTTGTTAATTTAAGCAATTATACCTAATATGTATGTATATATTAAAGTAATTTTTTAGTTCAGGGGTGTCATTCAATAAGAGCATTTAGGGCAATTATGTCATGTGGTATTACTAAGATTCTCTTTTATTAAAGTATAAAAAAATATAATTTGGTAAATTAAAATATTACTTTAGTATTTTCATAATAATTCTAACCATTATCAATAATTGATTATTTTCTTATTTTGCATAATCATTGTCATAATAACTTGCATAAAGAATTTATTTCATTAAATCATTCATTTATATTTATCATTCGTATTAGTCTATAAATGGAAATTATTAAGTGAGTTGATTATTTCCAAACAAATTACGATGAGTTCTTAAACATTATTTGTTATCCTATTTTATCAAGTATAGATCTCACCTGGAAAAAAAAACTAGAGTGTGGTTCTTACCTGACACGCTTTATTCAATAATATATTTTAGCCCAGTGGTTCCACGAGTCATTAAAAAAATATCTATCATTAAAATTAAATAAATAAAGTAATAAATCAGTAAAACACTAATAATAATTTTATGCGACTAGTTGAAGAACATCTACGGGGCATTTTCTTGAAATCGGTGTCATGTAAAACAGAATTTTAAACTTTAGTCCAGTAGTGCCACGAGTCATTAAAAAAATTATCTATCATTAAAATTAAATAAATAAAGTAATGAATCAGTAAAATGCTAATAAAAATTTTATGCGTCTAGTTGAAGAACATCTACCGGGCATTTTCTTGTAATTTGTATGACGTAAAACTGAATTTTATGTAGATTTATCTTAAGCTTCTTCTATTTCATTCTTTAACTCTCTTTTGGATTTAAACAATCATACTCCCCTCTCTGTTTGGATTTTCATTAATTTGTAATTCAAATTTTACTAAAACTCTTTCGGTAGTTTTATTGAGTCTGATGTGTTGGTGAATATATGGTACATTGGACGTTGAATTGAATAGCTTGATGAAGCATTTAAAATCTTAGTTGAAGAAAATCTTTACTTAGTTTTGTAATGTATTCGTAATATAATGATTCGTTAACTAATCTCATTATTGTTTCTAATTAATTTCTTTTTAGTTTTACATAATGTATCAAATAAAATGTTTTTAGAAATAATATTAATCTACATTTAATGAATCCAGACTTGATTTTCAAATTGTATTTATAATATAATTATTTGTAACTAATCTCTTATTTTTTTAAATTAATCTCTTTTTATTTTTTGTAAAATACATTAAATGGAATCATCTATTAAATAATATTAACTATCTTGCTCGTATACAGAATTGGTTTCGAATTGCATTTGTGGTATAATTTTTTAGTAATTAATCTCTTTTTATTTTTTAAATATATATCAAATGGAATAATCTAAAAAAATAATATGATCATACGTTTAATTTATATAGACTAAGTTTCTTATTATATTCACGGTATAATTATTTGGTAACAAATATATATATATATATATATATATTTAACCTATATTCAAACTCAGAACGGGTTAACGCTCTCGTAAACTTGGGACCAGCAACACCCCTCTTTTGCTCTCGGCGCACGCCGCTAACGTGCGCCTGCCATGGCAGGCCGGAAGAAGAAGGGGAAAGCAACTCAGCCCCCAGTAGAGGAGAGGAATCAGAGTTTAAGCGAGAACAACAAAGGTGGAGAGGAAGCTAGCATGGATAGATCTAAACAGCAGAAGGATGCTATCAGGGTTCCAGATCTGCAATGAGAGGAGTCGGCGAGAATTGGGGATGAAATTCAAGTTTCGTCTGGAAATAGGAAGGCAGCAGTTAAAGAGATTCCGAATTTGACTACACCAAGAAGACACAAGTTCTCTAATGCGCCAAGCCCCCAAAATTGGGCATGGCAATGAAAAGAAGCAAGGCGAAGTGGAGCTACCGGGGTGAGATTTGTCTCGCTAAGCGTCAACCGCAATGGTCTGAGACGATTGAATGAGACGAGATGCAAGGAGTGTGGGCTAAGACTGATGCACATAAATTCAAAGCTCCCTCAGGCAAATTGCAGTTCATACCGCCAAAGGAAGTGGCTGGACAGAGCATAGCCAGATGCGGTTGGAGGATGTTAAAAGCAAGCGGATTATCGGGAATCTTCCATTGCATGTTTTGTACTTGGGTGCTCTTCCGCCAATAGGTGTTATGGAAAGATATTTCCACAAGCTCTGGGGAAACCTAGGCATTGATAAGATAATTCTTCTGCCTAGTGGGCTTTTTGTTGTCAGATTTACAACCTTGAATGCTAGGGATACAGTGCTAAATGTCAATTTTTACCACTTTGGGTCAAAGCCCTTAATAGTGAAACCTTGGGATGTAGAAAAAGGGATCAATTATCATGATGTCGAGTTTGTTCCTATATGGATACGTTTATATGGCCTGGAAGTTAAGTTTTGGAATCTTAATTCCCTTAGCAGATTGGTAAGTGCAATTGGAACTCCAATTTTAGCAGACGATTATACTGTTGTAAAGGAGAGAGTTCAGTTTGCAAGGGTTCTAGTTGAAGTGAAAATAGCAGCTGCTGTACCTGATAAACTGGTCTTTGAGGATGAGAAGGGGAATGTGAAGGTGCAAAAAATAGTATATGAATGACTCCCCACTAAATGTGATCACTATTCGGAATATGGCCACCTCACTGATAAGTGCAGACTTAAATTGAGGAAGGAAGAAGGTAAACCCAATCAACCAGTGGCAACTTGGAAAAGAGTGGAAAAGAAGGATGAATGACGAAATAATGCTGCCAAGATCAAAGCAACTGATGACAGCCAAAGGAATCCAATTGTGAGAAGAAGAGATCAATCCTCAAGTGTGATGAATACCATCAACAGTAATGGACAACCTGCAACTAGCTTTCATGAGGAAGGAAACCTAGAAAAGAAAAAGGGGGTTCAAGAGTCGTGAAGTTGAGAACGTGCTAACTACTGTGGAGAGTTCTATTAGCATTGGAGCAAAGGAGGGTTTAGTGATAGATCCTGGTCCAAGTTCCTATGAGTAGCATATTCTCTTGGAATGTAAGGGGCCTCAACTCTCCCCTTAAGCAGCAAGAAATCTGCAAAAGAGTAAATGACCGGAAAAACAAGATGATATGTTTAGTGGAAACAAAGATGACTAGACAAAGAGGAGAGCAATTTTTGCAAAGTCGTTGGTAGGGGTGGCAGTGGTGCACCAATTACGATAGCCATGAAAGGGGAAGGATAATGTTACTTTGGAACAACGATATAGAGGTACAAGTATTAAATCAGAGTTCGCAGATGATTCATGCCTTCTGCAAGACAAAGCAAGGAAACAGGCCGTTTTATTTTACAGGAATCTATGCATCAAATGAATAGGAGGAAAGATCTCAGCTGTGGACGCTGTTAATAGGGCTCTCAAATAGTATTGGAGTCCCCTGGTTAGTGATGGGGGATTTCAATAACATCTTGAAGCCTGAGGAAAAATTAGGGGAAGCCTGTATTGCTCCAGGACTTCGAAGAATTTCAATGGAGTATGGAAGAATGTGGTTTACGGGATCTAACCCAGAAAGGGAAGATGTTCACATGGTGCAACCAAAGAGTAGGAATTGAAAGGATATACGCTAAGCTAGATAGAGCATTGGTCAATGGTGAATGGATTCATCAATATGCAAAGTCTATAGCAACCGTATTGATAGAAGGAGTATCGGATCACTCACCACTTGAGGTCCAGCCTGTACAAATGCGAAGAGGAGAATCGCTTTTAGATTTTTCAACATGTGGTGCCTATCCACCGATTTTCAGAGAACAGTGGAAAGGAGTTGGGCTGAAAAGTGGAAGGCACTTGTATGTATCAATTGTGCCGAAGTTGAAAAGGTTAAAGCATCTATTGAAGCAGCTTAATGAATCCAATTTGCGGACATAGTGGAGAAAGCAAACAGAGAAGAGATGCAACTGGAAGTTATGCAACAAAAACTCAGCCTTGATCCCGGTGATGCTGATTTGTAGGTTGAAGAACGGAAGCTGTATAATCAGTATATTGTGTCCAGAAAAGCCTCAAACAGTTTTCTGCAGCAGAAATCTAATGAAACTTGGCTTGGTGAAGGAGATGCCAATTCGAAATTCTTTCATGCATCCATAAAGGTTAAAGCAATGAAAAATAGAATCTGGGGAGTACAAGAGGAGAATGGCAGGGAGATTACCGATCAGAAAGGCATTGAAGAGCATTTCGTTTGCTTCTTCAAAGAATTATTGGGGAAGACAAGCAGGAGAGAACCAGCGAAGGAAGAAATGTTCAAGTCTAGGCCTGTACTGTTAGTGGAGCATCAAGTGAGACTTATACAGCCAATCCAGAGCGGTGAAATCAAAAAAGCCATCTGGGACATGGATGTGAACAAAAGTCCAGGACCAGACGGCTATGGCTTGGGGTTTTTCAAAGGAGCTTGGACTATAGTGGAGCCTGACGTGGTGTCAGCTGTCAAGGAGTTCTTCAAGACAGTCGATACTCAAACAACTTAACTCTACTTTAATTACTTTGATCCCTAAAGTTGATAATCCTTGTAATGCAAGCCAGTTCAGACCTATATCCTGCTGTAACATTATTTATAAGTGCATTTCAAAAATTTTATGTAATAGAATGAGTAGTATCATGCATGTCTTAGTAGATGAAAACCAAACACTTTTGTAAAGATAGGCTAATTATGCATAATGTACTTATAACCCAGGAGTTGATTAGATTGTATAGGAGGAAAGGGGTTAGTAAGAGAATGATGATGAAAATTGACTTGAAAAAAGCATTTGATACTGTTGAGTGGGGATTCATAGATGATATGTTAGGTGGGTATGGATTCCCAGAGGAATTTAGGAAATGGATCATGGCATGTGTAACACCGCCATCGTTTTCGATAGCTGTTAATGGTTGCACTGCGGGCTTTTTTGCTGGCAAGCGTGGATTAAGGCAAGGAGATCCTATATCACCTCTTCTTTTCGTCCTAGTAATGGAATACCTTACCCGTAGCCTTAAGAAAGTAGCAGAAACAGGGTTTAGGTTTCATCCTATGTGCAAACAACTCAAACGGACAAATATCTGTTTTGCTGATGATCTAATGATCTTCTACAAAGCAGATGTTGAATCAGTGAAGAAGATAATGGGGGCGTTAAGGCATTTTGCGGGAACCACAGGTCTTGAAGCAAATGTGCTAAAGTCGGCTATTTACTTCGGTGGGGTTTGTGGGGTGCTGCAGGAGAAAATTGCTGACCTAGTTGAGTTTCCTGTAGGTGTTTTTCCTATGAAGTACCTTGGTGTTTCATTGTCACCCAAAAAATGGTCCCAAGTAGAGTGTTAGGGGATCATAAACCGTATAACCGCAAGACTTAAGTGCTGGAGCACGCGGCATCTGTCCTACGCCGGCAGATTGGTCTTAGTGAATTCAGTACTTATGTCGATGCATACGTACTGGGGTAGCATGTTTATCTTACCATAGAGTATAACAGGGATGGTGAATAGATTATGTAGAGAGTTCCTCTCGGGGGTTAAAGAAAATGGTAGGGTGGTTTCCTTGGTGGGATGGGAAGAGATTTGTAAGAAAAAGGTAGCTGGTGGATTGGGGATCAGGGATGCGAAACTCTGGAATAAAGCAGCCTTACTGAAGCAAGTGTGGCAGATAGCTTCACAGAAAGACGCGCTATGGATTAAATGGATTCATGGTGTTTATATCAAAAGTGCATCTTTCTGGGAAGTTGAGGCTAAAAATGATGCCAGTTGGCAATGGAAGCAGATATTGAAGGTTAGGGATCAGAGGAAGCTTGGTGTTGTAGGAAGCAGGTGGTTGGCTTCAAGCAATGGCAAGTACACCGTGAAATCGTGGTATGCTTGGTTTGCAGGGAATGAGACGAAATTCAGGGACTTGCAGAGCATCTGGTCAAGAATGAATGTCCCAAAACACTCGTTCATTGCTTGGCTTGCATGGAAAAAGAGGCTGTGGACAAAAGATAGGCTCACCTCAATGCATATGGCCGTCAATGATCAACGCTGTTTACTATGTAGGTTGCAGCCAGAAACTATTGAACACCTATTTTTTCAGTGCACATTTGCAGCAGTAGTATTGGAGAAGCTTGTCCAATGGTTGGGATGCAGGAAAATAGCAGCCAGTGAAGCAAGGTGGAGAATGCAAATTCTGAATATGTGGAAAGGGCAGAAGATCAACAGAAGGCTTCTTTGGGCAGTAATAGCTGCTTGTACATATCACCTATGGGAGGAGCGAAATCGCAGGCTTTTCCAGCAACTGGAGAGAAGCCCCGAACAAATCACGCTACTGATCAAAGATGAAATGAGAGGCCGATTCTTGTACTGTCACAAGAGGAAGAACAGACCAGCAGCATCAATCTTTGATAGGTACTTCTGACTGCAGCTGTAACATGCCATATGGTCTTATATATGTGTTAGTTGGTTCTATAGAGAGTCGTGTTAATAGTGTTTCTCCAACAGTTTTTGTAATAGGGGAATTGGAACTTTTGTAATAGGGTGTTTTTGTAGCAGCCATGTAGATAGCAGAGTTGGCTTCTACTAAGTTGACACTGTAAAGAACGGTCATGATCCCAAAAAAAAACCCCCTATTACCTTTTTTTTGGTGAAAAAGGTAAATGTATATATAAAGATAGGCACACCAAAAAAAAAACAAATATATTTTTTTTGTTATTGGTAACTAATCTATTTTTATTTTTGGAAAATATATCAAAATAAAATTATCGAAAAATATTATCAACTTACGTTTAATGTATCCAGCATAGTTTTGAATTGTACTGGTATAATTATTTGATAAATAATCTCTTAATTTTGGTAAGTAGTCTCTTTTTATTTATGAAAAATATATCAATCATTTAAGAAATAATATTAACATACTTGTAATGTATGTAGACTTGGTTTCAAATTGTATTCATAATATAGTTATTTGGTAACTAATATCTTTTAATTTTTGGAAAATATATCAAATAGAATCATTTGAAAAATAATACTAACTAACGTTTAACGTATCCAAACTTGGTTTCAAACTGTATTTTTAATAAAATTATTAATTTGATGATTAATGTTTCCTGTTGTCATATATTTGTCAATAATTACCAAAGACGTGTTTATTTTTCCGAAATTAACTATTAGTTAATTACTTAATCCAATTTAACAATTTTACGTATTAGTAATAAAATCGTAATCGTTTAATGAAGGAGATTTTTGGTAACGACATGTGGCTCAATTGGCTAAACTTGCTCCCGGGCGACACGTGTCGATTAAGAACTCGCTTTAATATATATAATAGATAGATTCTCTTTCATCAAAGTGTAAAAAAAAAAAAAAATTAGTAAATTAAAAAAATCTTAGTTTTGATAATAATTAAACCATTATCAATAATTGTTGATTCTCTTATTTTGCATAATCATAGTGATAATAACTCGTATAAAGGATTTATTTCTTTAAATCATCAATTTATATGTATCATTTGTATTAATAATCTATAAAAGGAAATTAGTAAGTGAGTTGATTATTTTTTCGAAGGCGAAATCCTCGTTCTGGTTGATTGGTGAGACTGACTCCGACTAGACTTGTGATCTGGAAGAGAAAATCTCAGGGGTCTCCTGAGGATATACACTCCGATGCTTAAGTCAGAATCAGAGTTTTTAGAGAAAGTGTAATTCTTGTATGATGCTATAAATTGGGTACCTTGATTGTGATTTGATCTACCCTATTTATAGGCATAGAATTACCTCTTGGATATCTGAATTACTATACACTATTTTTAGTACTACATTGGCCGACTTAAGTAAGTCGATTGGTCCACATGAGGTTGGCGGACCGAGTCCAATAGCAAGGTGTAGGTATGGACTCGTTAGTTTTCAATCCTAACTCTAACAAAAATTACGATGAATTCTTAAACGTTATTTATTATTTTATCAAGTATACATCACAATAGGAAAAAAAAAAAAACTAGAGTATGGTTCGTAGTTGAAACGCGTTATTTAGTACTATAAACTAGGGCAGTAATGCCACGAGTCATTAAAAGAATCATCTATCATTGAAATGTAAAAATAAAATAATAAATCAGTAAACACGAATAATATTTTCACGTGATTAGTAGAAGAACATCTACGGTGCAATTTCCTGAGATCGATATGACGAGAAACTAAATTTTATTTAGATTTATCTTGAGCTTCTTTCTATTTCATTTTTCAAACTCTCATTTGGATCTAAATAGTAAAATAAAAAGTCGAGCGTCAATGGCTAAACAATCATACTCCCCTCTCTGTTTGGATTTTCATTAATTTGTAATTCAAATTTTACTAAAACTGTTTGGGTAGTTTTATTGAGGCTGATGTGTTGGTGAATATATGGTACATTAGACGTTGAATTGAATAGTTTCATGAAGCATTTAAAATCATAGGTTAAGAACATCTAAGGTGCACTTAACTGATATCGATGTCATTTATACGTGAAACAGAGTCATAAAACCAAAAGTAGATCATCAATGGCCAAAGAGTAATACTCTCTCTATCCTGAAATTATTTTCTGGTTTGGATTTTTAATTATAGTTCAAATTGTATTAAAATTAATAATTCAAACAAGATAATAATTTTTGGACAGAAGTTGTATAAACAAAGGGACTAAATCAAACCATTATCATCACCAAGAAAACTTTGCTGCGTTTACTGCAATTAAATTTGATCTTCCTCGTTGAATTAAACCTACGAGCTATGATACATCACTCTATGATTTCAACTTTCAAGTACATATAGTAATTAACATAACTCAGAGGTTCAAAGGAGTTTTTAACTAATTTGACTTTAAAGTATAGAAAACTTTGTCACATCAGTACAAAAATCATGGGATTCAGCTACTAAGATCAGCTTTTACGGTTTTTTGCAAGGAAGAAGTGGAGCTCCGCACAATCCAGGATTGCCTAAAAACGCTTTTTCCGAGATTGGGACAGACGCATTGAAACGAGGAATACTTCCACTCAGATGATTCCCGGAAACATCAAACTCGTGAAGCAATGTGAGGTTGGACACTTCTCCGGGATTCCACCACTTAATCTGTTGTTCGCGAGCAATAGAGCCTTCAAGGACGCTAGTTTTCCGATCGACTTTGGTATAGTTCCTTCAAGTAAATTGTTCGACAGTTTTAAGGAAGTAATGTAACCGAGGGATCCTTCGTCTCCAATGTTTTCTTCGATTGGACCAGAGAAATAATTGTTGGAAACATCAATGGCATCGTATGCGTAACAAAGTACCTCATCATAATACGCTCCCAGTATGGGTTTCAGCCCGCCTGAGAACTTGTTGGAATGAAGATCCAGGGTTGTTAGGGGGTACATATCCTGGAATTCTGCTGGAATAGAAGATTCAAATGCATTGCAAGATAAGTTCAGCTCCCGTAACTTGGTGAAGTTTGCTATCCAACTTGGCAATGGCCCCGTCAATTCATTTTCTGCTAAATTCAGCTTTTGCAAATTCGGTGAAAGTCTAGGTAGCCAACGCGGAAGCGGCCCTTTGATTCCCGTCTTTGCCAACGATAAGCTGGTTAGCTGTCTCAATCCTTGCATCCAAGCTGGTATGTTGATTAGTCCAAGAGGATTAAATGACAAATCCAGAGAATGTATGTTGGACTTTATATTTAAAAGATCGGAAGGGATTGGGCCGGTGAGCTTATTTCGAGACAAATCTAGTTCCGACAACCCCATATGTGGAATTGGATTCCCAAGCTTGGAGGAATCTTACCGGTGAAGTTGTTGTTGGAGAGATATAAAGAATTAAGATTCGGCATGGTAATTCCCATATCTTGGGGTAACATTCCAGTGAACTTGTTGTTGTTCAAGTTTAGCATCATCATGGAACGAATTTTGCAAATTGACGAAATATTCCCCGTCAGATTGTTATCAGACAAAACCAAAATGTTCAGTGAAACGAAACTAGAAAACCAAGAAGTATCTCCACTCAGCTGATTGTGATCAAGACGGAGATCAGTCAGTTTGGATAACTTTCCGAGTTCGGGCGGAATAAAACCCGTCAGATTCTTTAGCTTCGTGAACCAAAGTGTTTCAAGGTAGGAAAGGTTGCCAAGAAAAGGCGATATAGTTCCAGACATTGGTACTTCGATAAAGGAATCATCATTACACACAGCCGGAGTCACTTTAAAAACTCTTCCTTCAGGATTGCAGAAAATACCGTTCCAACTGTTGCAGCAATCCGTGGTCGGAACCCATGATCCCAATGCATTAGTCGAATCGGAAGTGATTCCAGCTTTGAAATGCAGCAATGCTTCTTGATCAACAGGATGACAAGCATCCGATGAGTTTATTAGGAACAAGGTTGACAAAAAGATGATGCCCAAGGGCAACATCACCCTAAATGAACTTCTTCTCATATTGTTTTTGACTTTTGCTTTTCCCGTGTGTATAGAATGCAAGTTATGGATGTTTTTTGGTTGATTTGGCGCTGATCATCATCTTGTTTTGTTGTATTTATATGATGCGCAAATGACTTTATCTCTTCGTGTGTGACTTTTCCTTTTTCTTTCTTTCTTATCTCCTTCAAAAAGAAAAAGTAATGAATTTGAGAACTGCAAAATCTCTCTTTATTATTATCCTAACATCAATCAACCATTTTTTTCTCCTCGGGAAATTGCTTTTTTCTATTGGTTTCTCCTCAATTCCGTAAAAAGAGTTCTTATGTTGAAAGGTGGTCTTGTTTTGTGGTGAAGTTAATAAAGGAATGGTTTCTTCAAAAGAAAAAGAAAAATAAATAAATCAATGGTAATCCCTGTTGTTTTTTCGTGGGTTGCTGCCATGTCAAACTGTAAATTGAAATCGTGTTTATAGAGTTTATTATTTTATCGATAAATTAAGTTATGAGTTGTTAATTTAAGCAATTATACCTAATATGTATGTATATATTAAAGTAATTTTTTAGTTCAGGGGTGTCATTCAATAAGAGCATTTAGGGCAATTATGTCATGTGGTATTACTAAGATTCTCTTTTATTAAAGTATAAAAAAATATAATTTGGTAAATTAAAATATTACTTTAGTATTTTCATAATAATTCTAACCATTATCAATAATTGATTATTTTCTTATTTTGCATAATCATTGTCATAATAACTTGCATAAAGAATTTATTTCATTAAATCATTCATTTATATTTATCATTCGTATTAGTCTATAAATGGAAATTATTAAGTGAGTTGATTATTTCCAAACAAATTACGATGAGTTCTTAAACATTATTTGTTATCCTATTTTATCAAGTATAGATCTCACCTGGAAAAAAAAACTAGAGTGTGGTTCTTACCTGACACGCTTTATTCAATAATATATTTTAGCCCAGTGGTTCCACGAGTCATTAAAAAAATATCTATCATTAAAATTAAATAAATAAAGTAATAAATCAGTAAAACACTAATAATAATTTTATGCGACTAGTTGAAGAACATCTACGGGGCATTTTCTTGAAATCGGTGTCATGTAAAACAGAATTTTAAACTTTAGTCCAGTAGTGCCACGAGTCATTAAAAAAATTATCTATCATTAAAATTAAATAAATAAAGTAATGAATCAGTAAAATGCTAATAAAAATTTTATGCGTCTAGTTGAAGAACATCTACCGGGCATTTTCTTGTAATTTGTATGACGTAAAACTGAATTTTATGTAGATTTATCTTAAGCTTCTTCTATTTCATTCTTTAACTCTCTTTTGGATTTAAACAATCATACTCCCCTCTCTGTTTGGATTTTCATTAATTTGTAATTCAAATTTTACTAAAACTCTTTCGGTAGTTTTATTGAGTCTGATGTGTTGGTGAATATATGGTACATTGGACGTTGAATTGAATAGCTTGATGAAGCATTTAAAATCTTAGTTGAAGAAAATCTTTACTTAGTTTTGTAATGTATTCGTAATATAATGATTCGTTAACTAATCTCATTATTGTTTCTAATTAATTTCTTTTTAGTTTTACATAATGTATCAAATAAAATGTTTTTAGAAATAATATTAATCTACATTTAATGAATCCAGACTTGATTTTCAAATTGTATTTATAATATAATTATTTGTAACTAATCTCTTATTTTTTTAAATTAATCTCTTTTTATTTTTTTGTAAAATACATTAAATGGAATCATCTATTAAATAATATTAACTATCTTGCCTGTATACAGAATTGGTTTCGAATTGCATTTGTGGTATAATTTTTTAGTAATTAATCTCTTTTTATTTTTTAAATATATATCAAATGGAATAATCTAAAAAAATAATATGATCATACGTTTAATTTATATAGACTAAGTTTCTTATTATATTCACGGTATAATTATTTGGTAACAAATATATATATATATATATATATTTAACCTATATTCAAACTCAGAACGGGTTAACGCTCTCGTAAACTTGGGACCAGCAACACCCCTCTTTTGCTCTCGGCGCACGCCGCTAACGTGCGCCTGCCATGGCAGGCCGGAAGAAGAAGGGGAAAGCAACTCAGCCCCCAGTAGAGGAGAGGAATCAGAGTTTAAGCGAGAACAACAAAGGTGGAGAGGAAGCTAGCATGGATAGATCTAAACAGCAGAAGGATGCTATCAGGGTTCCAGATCTGCAATGAGAGGAGTCGGCGAGAATTGGGGATGAAATTCAAGTTTCGTCTGGAAATAGGAAGGCAGCAGTTAAAGAGATTCCGAATTTGACTACACCAACAGAAGACACAAGTTCTCTAATGCGCCAAGCCCCCAAAATTGGGCATGGCAGCGAAAAGAAGCAAGGCGAAGTGGAGCTACCGGGGTGAGATTTGTCTGCTAAGCGTCAACTGCAATGGTCTGAGACGATTGAATGAGACGAGATGCAAGGAGTGTGGGCTAAGACTGATGCACATAAATTCAAAGCTCCCTCAGGCAAATTGCAGTTCATACCGCCAAAGGAAGTGGCTGGACAGAGCATAGCCCAGATGCAGTTGGAGGATGTTAAAACTGAAGCGGATTACTGGGAATCTTCCATTGCATGTTTTGTACTGGGTGCTCTTCCGCCAATAGGTGTTATGGAAAGATATTTCCACAAGCTCTGGGGAAACCTAGGCATTGATAAGATAATTCTTCTGCCTAGTGGGCTTTTTGTTGTCAGATTTACAACCTTGAATGCTAGGGATACAGTGCTAAATGTCAATTTTTACCACTTTGGGTCAAAGCCCTTAATAGTGAAACCTTGGGATGTAGAAAAAGGGATCAATTATCATGATGTCGAGTTTGTTCCTATATGGATACGTTTATATGGCCTGGAAGTTAAGTTTTGGAATCTTAATTCCCTTAGCAGATTGGTAAGTGCAATTGGAACTCCAATTTTAGCAGACGATTATACTGTTGTAAAGGAGAGAGTTCAGTTTGCAAGGGTTCTAGTTGAAGTGAAAATAGCAGCTGCTGTACCTGATAAACTGGTCTTTGAGGATGAGAAGGGGAATGTGAAGGTGCAAAAAATAGTATATGAATGACTCCCCACTAAATGTGATCACTATTCGGAATATGGCCACCTCACTGATAAGTGCAGACTTAAATTGAGGAAGGAAGAAGGTAAACCCAATCAACCAGTGGCAACTTGGAAAAGAGTGGAAAAGAAGGATGAATGACGAAATAATGCTGCCAAGATCAAAGCAACTGATGACAGCCAAAGGAATCCAATTGTGAGAAGAAGAGATCAATCCTCAAGTGTGATGAATACCATCAACAGTAATGGACAACCTGCAACTAGCTTTCATGAGGAAGGAAACCTAGAAAAGAAAAAGGGGGTTCAGAGTCGTGAAGTTGAGAACGTGCTAACTACTGTGGAGAGTTCTATTAGCATTGGAGCAAAGGAGGGTTTAGTGATAGATCCTGGTCCAAGTTCCTATGAGTAGCATATTCTCTTGGAATGTAAGGGGCCTCAACTCTCCCCTTAAGCAGCAAGAAATCTGCAAAAGAGTAAATGACCGGAAAAACAGTATGATATGTTTAGTGGAAACAAAGATGACTAGACAAAGAGGAGAGCAATTTTTGCAAAGTCGTTGGTAGGGGTGGCAGTGGTGCACCAATTACGATAGCCATGAAAGGGGAAGGATAATGTTACTTTGGAACAACGATATAGAGGTACAAGTATTAAATCAGAGTTCGCAGATGATTCATGCCTTCTGCAAGACAAAGCAAGGAAACAGGCCGTTTTATTTTACAGGAATCTATGCATCAAATGAATAGGAGGAAAGATCTCAGCTGTGGACGCTGTTAATAGGGCTCTCAAATAGTATTGGAGTCCCCTGGTTAGTGATGGGGGATTTCAATAACATCTTGAAGCCTGAGGAAAAATTAGGGGGGAAGCCTGTATTGCTCCAGGACTTCGAAGAATTTCAATGGAGTATGGAAGAATGTGGTTTACGGGATCTAACCCAGAAAGGGAAGATGTTCACATGGTGCAACCAAAGAGTAGGAATTGAAAGGATATACGCTAAGCTAGATAGAGCATTGGTCAATGGTGAATGGATTCATCAATATGCAAAGTCTATAGCAACCGTATTGATAGAAGGAGTATCGGATCACTCACCACTTGAGGTCCAGTTCCAGGTACAAATGCAGAAGAGGAGAACTGCTTTTAGATTTTTCAACATGTGGTGCCTATCCACTGATTTTCAGAGAACAGTGGAAAGGAGTTGGGCTGAAAAAGTGGAAGGCACTTGTATGTATCAATTGTGCCAGAAGTTGAAAAGGTTAAAGCATCTATTGAAGCAGCTTAACAGAATCCAATTTGCAGACATAGTGGAGAAAGCAAACAGAGAAGAGATGCAACTGGAAGTTATGCAACAAAAACTCAGCCTTGATCCCGGTGATGCTGATTTGTAGGTTGAAGAACGGAAGCTGTATAATCAGTATATTGTGTCCAGAAAAGCCTCAAACAGTTTTCTGCAGCAGAAATCTAATGAAACTTGGCTTGGTGAAGGAGATGCCAATTCGAAATTCTTTCATGCATCCATAAAGGTTAAAGCAATGAAAAATAGAATCTGGGGAGTACAAGAGGAGAATGGCAGGGAGATTACCGATCAGAAAGGCATTGAAGAGCATTTCGTTTGCTTCTTCAAAGAATTATTGGGGAAGACAAGCAGGAGAGAACCAGCGAAGGAAGAAATGTTCAAGTCTAGGCCTGTACTGTTAGTGGAGCATCAAGTGAGACTTATACAGCCAATCCAGAGCGGTGAAATCAAAAAAGCCATCTGGGACATGGATGTGAACAAAAGTCCAGGACCAGACGGCTATGGCTTGGGGTTTTTCAAAGGAGCTTGGACTATAGTGGAGCCTGACGTGGTGTCAGCTATCAAGGAGTTCTTCAGTACAGGTCAGATACTCAAACAACTTAACTCTACTTTAATTACTTTGATCCCTAAAGTTGATAATCCTTGTAATGCAAGCCAGTTCAGACCTATATCCTGCTGTAACATTATTTATAAGTGCATTTCAAAAATTTTATGTAATAGAATGAGTAGTATCATGCATGTCTTAGTAGATGAAAACCAAACAGCTTTTGTAAAGATAGGCTAATTATGCATAATGTACTTATAACCCAGGAGTTGATTAGATTGTATAGGAGGAAAGGGGTTAGTAAGAGAATGATGATGAAAATTGACTTGAAAAAAGCATTTGATACTGTTGAGTGGGGATTCATAGATGATATGTTAGGTGGGTATGGATTCCCAGAGGAATTTAGGAAATGGATCATGGCATGTGTAACACCGCCATCGTTTTCGATAGCTGTTAATGGTTGCACTGCGGGCTTTTTTGCTGGCAAGCGTGGATTAAGGCAAGGAGATCCTATATCACCTCTTCTTTTCGTCCTAGTAATGGAATACCTTACCCGTAGCCTTAAGAAAGTAGCAGAAACAGGGTTTAGGTTTCATCCTATGTGCAAACAACTCAAACGGACAAATATCTGTTTTGCTGATGATCTAATGATCTTCTACAAAGCAGATGTTGAATCAGTGAAGAAGATAATGGGGGGCGTTAAGGCATTTTGCGGGAACCACAGGTCTTGAAGCAAATGTGCTAAAGTCGGCTATTTACTTCGGTGGGGTTTGTGGGGTGCTGCAGGAGAAAATTGCTGACCTAGTTGAGTTTCCTGTAGGTGTTTTTCCTATGAAGTACCTTGGTGTTTCATTGTCACCCAAAAAATGGTCCCAAGTAGAGTGTTAGGGGATCATAAACCGTATAACCGCAAGACTTAAGTGCTGGAGCACGCGGCATCTGTCCTACGCCGGCAGATTGGTCTTAGTGAATTCAGTACTTATGTCGATGCATACGTACTGGGGTAGCATGTTTATCTTACCATAGAGTATAACAGGGATGGTGAATAGATTATGTAGAGAGTTCCTCTGGGGGGTTAAAGAAAATGGTAGGGTGGTTTCCTTGGTGGGATGGGAAGAGATTTGTAAGAAAAAGGTAGCTGGTGGATTGGGGATCAGGGATGCGAAACTCTGGAATAAAGCAGCCTTACTGAAGCAAGTGTGGCAGATAGCTTCACAGAAAGACGCGCTATGGATTAAATGGATTCATGGTGTTTATATCAAAAGTGCATCTTTCTGGGAAGTTGAGGCTAAAAATGATGCCAGTTGGCAATGGAAGCAGATATTGAAGGTTAGGGATCAGAGGAAGCTTGGTGTTGTAGGAAGCAGGTGGTTGGCTTCAAGCAATGGCAAGTACACTGTGAAATCAGGGTATGCTTGGTTTGCAGGGAATGAGACGAAATTCAGGGACTTGCAGAGCATCTGGTCAAGAATGAATGTCCCAAAACACTCGTTCATTGCTTGGCTTGCATGGAAAAAGAGGCTGTGGACAAAAGATAGGCTCACCTCAATGCATATGGCCGTCAATGATCAACGCTGTTTACTATGTAGGTTGCAGCCAGAAACTATTGAACACCTATTTTTTCAGTGCACATTTGCAGCAGTAGTATTGGAGAAGCTTGTCCAATGGTTGGGATGCAGGAAAATAGCAGCCAGTGAAGCAAGGTGGAGAATGCAAATTCTGAATATGTGGAAAGGGCAGAAGATCAACAGAAGGCTTCTTTGGGCAGTAATAGCTGCTTGTACATATCACCTATGGGAGGAGCGAAATCGCAGGCTTTTCCAGCAACTGGAGAGAAGCCCCGAACAAATCACGCTACTGATCAAAGATGAAATGAGAGGCCGATTCTTGTACTGTCACAAGAGGAAGAACAGACCAGCAGCAAAGATCAATCTTTGATAGGTACTTCTGACTGCAGCTGTAACATGCCATATGGTCTTATATATGTGTTAGTTGGTTCTATAGAGAGTCGTGTTAATAGTGTTTCTCCAACAGTTTTTGTAATAGGGGAATTGGAACTTTTGTAATAGGGTGTTTTTGTAGCAGCCATGTAGATAGCAGAGTTGGCTTCTACTAAGTTGACACTGTAAAGAACGGTCATGATCCCAAAAAAAAACCCCCTATTACCTTTTTTTTGGTGAAAAAGGTAAATGTATATATAAAGATAGGCACACCAAAAAAAAAACAAATATATTTTTTTTGTTATTGGTAACTAATCTATTTTTATTTTTGGAAAATATATCAAAATAAAATTATCAGAAAAATATTATCAACTTACGTTTAATGTATCCAGGCATAGTTTTGAATTGTACTGGTATAATTATTTGATAAATAATCTCTTAATTTTGGTAAGTAGTCTCTTTTTATTTATGAAAAATATATCAATCATTTAAGAAATAATATTAACATACTTGTAATGTATGTAGACTTGGTTTCAAATTGTATTCATAATATAGTTATTTGGTAACTAATATCTTTTAATTTTTGGAAAATATATCAAATAGAATCATTTGAAAAATAATACTAACTAACGTTTAACGTATCCAAACTTGGTTTCAAACTGTATTTTTAATAAAATTATTAATTTGATGATTAATGTTTCCTGTTGTCATATATTTGTCAATAATTACCAAAGACGTGTTTATTTTTCCGAAATTAACTATTAGTTAATTACTTAATCCAATTTAACAATTTTACGTATTAGTAATAAAATCGTAACTGTTTAATGAAGGAGATTTTTGGTAACGACATGTGGCTCAATTGGCTAAACTTGCTCCCTGGGCGACACGTGTCGATTAAGAACTCTGCTTTAATATATATAATAGATAGATTCTCTTTCATCAAAGTGTAAAAAAAAAAAAAAATTAGTAAATTAAAAAAATCTTAGTTTTGATAATAATTAAACCATTATCAATAATTGTTGATTCTCTTATTTTGCATAATCATAGTGATAATAACTCGTATAAAGGATTTATTTCTTTAAATCATCAATTTATATGTATCATTTGTATTAATAATCTATAAAAGGAAATTAGTAAGTGAGTTGATTATTTTTTCGAAGGCGAAATCCTCGTTCTGGTTGATTGGTGAGACTGACTCCGACTAGACTTGTGATCTCGGAAGAGAAAATCTCGGGGTCTCCGAGGATATACACTCCGATGCTTAAGTCGAATCAGAGTTTTTAGAGAAAGTGTAATTCTTGTATGATGCTATAAATTGGGTACCTTGATTGTGATTTGATCTACCCTATTTATAGGCATAGAATTACCTCTTGGATATCTGAATTACTATACACTATTTTTAGTACTACATTGGCCGACTTAAGTAAGTCGATTGGTCCACATGAGGTTGGCGGACCGAGTCCAATAGCAAGGTGTAGGTATGGACTCGTTAGTTTTCAATCCTAACTCTAACAAAAATTACGATGAATTCTTAAACGTTATTTATTATTTTATCAAGTATACATCACAATAGGAAAAAAAAAAAAACTAGAGTATGGTTCGTAGTTGAAACGCGTTATTTAGTACTATAAACTAGGCAGTAATGCCACGAGTCATTAAAAGAATCATCTATCATTGAAATGTAAAAATAAAATAATAAATCAGTAAACACGAATAATATTTTCACGTGATTAGTAGAAGAACATCTACGGTGCAATTTCCTGAGATCGATATGACGAGAAACTAAATTTTATTTAGATTTATCTTGAGCTTCTTTCTATTTCATTTTTCAAACTCTCATTTGGATCTAAATAGTAAAATAAAAAGTCGAGCGTCAATGGCTAAACAATCATACTCCCCTCTCTGTTTGGATTTTCATTAATTTGTAATTCAAATTTTACTAAAACTGTTTGGGTAGTTTTATTGAGGCTGATGTGTTGGTGAATATATGGTACATTAGACGTTGAATTGAATAGTTTCATGAAGCATTTAAAATCATAGGTTAAGAACATCTAAGGTGCACTTAACTGATATCGATGTCATTTATACGTGAAACAGAGTCATAAAACCAAAAGTAGATCATCAATGGCCAAAGAGTAATACTCTCTCTATCCTGAAATTATTTTCTGGTTTGGATTTTTAATTATAGTTCAAATTGTATTAAAATTAATAATTCAAACAAGATAATAATTTTTGGACAGAAGTTGTATAAACAAAGGGACTAAATCAAACCATTATCATCACCAAGAAAACTTTGCTGCGTTTACTGCAATTAAATTTGATCTTCCTCGTTGAATTAAACCTACGAACTATGATACATCACTCTATGATTTCAACTTTCAAGTACATATAGTAATTAACATAACTCAGAGGTTCAAAGGAGTTTTTAACTAATTTGACTTTAAAGTATAGAAAACTTTGTCACATCAGTACAAAAATCATGGGATTCAGCTACTAAGATCAGCTTTTACGGTTTTTTGCAAGGAAGAAGTGGAGCTCCGCACAATCCAGGATTGCCTAAAAACGCTTTTTCCGAGATTGGGACAGACGCATTGAAACGAGGAATACTTCCACTCAGATGATTCCCGGAAACATCAAACTCGTGAAGCAATGTGAGGTTGGACACTTCTCCGGGGATTCCACCACTTAATCTGTTGTTCGCGAGCAATAGAGCCTTCAAGGACGCTAGTTTTCCGATCGACTTTGGTATAGTTCCTTCAAGTAAATTGTTCGACAGTTTTAAGGAAGTAATGTAACCGAGGGATCCTTCGTCTCCAATGTTTTCTTCGATTGGACCAGAGAAATAATTGTTGGAAACATCAATGGCATCGTATGCGTAACAAAGTACCTCATCATAATACGCTCCCAGTATGGGTTTCAGCCCGCCTGAGAACTTGTTGGAATGAAGATCCAGGGTTGTTAGGGGGTACATATCCTGGAATTCTGCTGGAATAGAAGATTCAAATGCATTGCAAGATAAGTTCAGCTCCCGTAACTTGGTGAAGTTTGCTATCCAACTTGGCAATGGCCCCGTCAATTCATTTTCTGCTAAATTCAGCTTTTGCAAATTCGGTGAAAGTCTAGGTAGCCAACGCGGAAGCGGCCCTTTGATTCCCGTCTTTGCCAACGATAAGCTGGTTAGCTGTCTCAATCCTTGCATCCAAGCTGGTATGTTGATTAGTCCAAGAGGATTAAATGACAAATCCAGAGAATGTATGTTGGACTTTATATTTAAAAGATCGGAAGGGATTGGGCCGGTGAGCTTATTTCGAGACAAATCTAGTTCCGACAACCCCATATGTGGAATTGGATTCCCAAGCTTGGAGGAATCTTACCGGTGAAGTTGTTGTTGGAGAGATATAAAGAATTAAGATTCGGCATGGTAATTCCCATATCTTGGGGTAACATTCCAGTGAACTTGTTGTTGTTCAAGTTTAGCATCATCATGGAACGAATTTTGCAAATTGACGAAATATTCCCCGTCAGATTGTTATCAGACAAAACCAAAATGTTCAGTGAAACGAAACTAGAAAACCAAGAAGTATCTCCACTCAGCTGATTGTGATCAAGACGGAGATCAGTCAGTTTGGATAACTTTCCGAGTTCGGGCGGAATAAAACCCGTCAGATTCTTTAGCTTCGTGAACCAAAGTGTTTCAAGGTAGGAAAGGTTGCCAAGAAAAGGCGATATAGTTCCAGACATTGGTACTTCGATAAAGGAATCATCATTACACACAGCCGGAGTCACTTTAAAAACTCTTCCTTCAGGATTGCAGAAAATACCGTTCCAACTGTTGCAGCAATCCGTGGTCGGAACCCATGATCCCAATGCATTAGTCGAATCGGAAGTGATTCCAGCTTTGAAATGCAGCAATGCTTCTTGATCAACAGGATGACAAGCATCCGATGAGTTTATTAGGAACAAGGTTGACAAAAAGATGATGCCCAAGGGCAACATCACCCTAAATGAACTTCTTCTCATATTGTTTTTTTGACTTTTGCTTTTCCCGTGTGTATAGAATGCAAGTTATGGATGTTTTTTGGTTGATTTGGCGCTGATCATCATCTTGTTTTGTTGTATTTATATGATGCGCAAATGACTTTATCTCTTCGTGTGTGACTTTTCCTTTTTCTTTCTTTCTTATCTCCTTCAAAAAGAAAAAGTAATGAATTTGAGAACTGCAAAATCTCTCTTTATTATTATCCTAACATCAATCAACCATTTTTTTCTCCTCGGGAAATTGCTTTTTTCTATTGGTTTCTCCTCAATTCCGTAAAAAGAGTTCTTATGTTGAAAGGTGGTCTTGTTTTGTGGTGAAGTTAATAAAGGAATGGTTTCTTCAAAAGAAAAAGAAAAATAAATAAATCAATGGTAATCCCTGTTGTTTTTTTTCGTGGGTTGCTGCCATGTCAAACTGTAAATTGAAATCGTGTTTATAGAGTTTATTATTTTATCGATAAATTAAGTTATGAGTTGTTAATTTAAGCAATTATACCTAATATGTATGTATATATTAAAGTAATTTTTTAGTTCAGGGGTGTCATTCAATAAGAGCATTTAGGGCAATTATGTCATGTGGTATTACTAAGATTCTCTTTTATTAAAGTATAAAAAAATATAATTTGGTAAATTAAAATATTACTTTAGTATTTTCATAATAATTCTAACCATTATCAATAATTGATTATTTTCTTATTTTGCATAATCATTGTCATAATAACTTGCATAAAGAATTTATTTCATTAAATCATTCATTTATATTTATCATTCGTATTAGTCTATAAATGGAAATTATTAAGTGAGTTGATTATTTCGAAACAAATTACGAGGAGTTCTTAAACGTTATTTGTTATCCTATTTTATCAAGTATAGATCTCACCTGGAAAAAAAAACTAGAGTGTGGTTCTTACCTGACACGCGTTATTCAATAATATATTTTAGTCCAGTGGTTCCACGAGTCATTAAAAAAATATCTATCATTAAAATTAAATAAATAAAGTAATAAATCAGTAAAACACTAATAATAATTTTATGCGACTAGTTGAAGAACATCTACGGGGCATTTTCTTGAAATCGGTGTCATGTAAAACAGAATTTTAAACTTTAGTCCAGTAGTGCCACGAGTCATTAAAAAAATTATCTATCATTAAAATTAAATAAATAAAGTAATAAATCAGTAAAATGCCAATAATAATTTTATGCGTCTAGTTGAAGAACATTTACTGGGCATTTTCTTGTAATTGTTATGACGTAAAACTGAATTTTATGTAGATTTATCTTAAGCTTCTTCTATTTCATTCTTTAACTCTCTTTTGGATCTAAATCGTAAAATAAAAAGTTGAGCGTCAATGGCTAAACAATCATACTCCCCTCTCTGTTTGGATTTTCATTAATTTGTAATTCAAATTTTACTAAAACTGTTTGGGTAGTTTTATTGAGTCTGATGTGTTGGTGAATCTATGGTACATTGGACGTTCAATTGAATAGCTTGATGAAGCATTTAAAATCAAAGTTAAAGAACCTCTACAGTGCACTTAACTGATATCGATGTGATTTACACGTGAAACTTAGTCATAAAACAAAAAGTAGATCATCAATGGCCTTAGAGTAATACTCTCTCTATCCTAAATTTATTTTCTGGTTTGGATTTTTATTTGTAGTTCAAATTGTATTAAAACTGATAATTCAAACAAGACAATATAGAAGGTGTACACCAAAGGGACTAAATCAAACCAGCATCATTACCAAGAAAACTTTGTTGCGTTTACTGCAATTAAACCTACGACCTATGATACATCAGTACAAAAATCATGGGATTCAGCTACTAAGATTAGCTTTTACAGTTTTTTGCAAGGAAGAAATAGAGCTCCGCGTAATCCAGGATTGCCTAAAAACGCTTTTTCCGAGATTGGGATTGACGCATTGAAACGAGGAATACTTCCACTCAGATGATTTCCGGAAACATCAAACTCGTGAAGCAATGTGAGGTTGGACACTTCTCTGCGGATTCCTCCACTTAATCTGTTGTTCACGAGCAATAGAGTCCCCAAGGTCGCTAGTTTTCCGATCGACTTTGGTATAGTTCGTTCAAGTAAATTGTTCGACAGTTTTAAGGAAGTAATGTAACCGAGCAATCCTCCGTCTCCAATATTTTCTTTTGGACAAGAGAAATAATTCTGGGAAACATCAATGGCATCGTATGTGTAACAAGCTACATCATCATAATACGTTGTAATGATTATCCAAGGTTGTTAGGGGGTACATATCATGGAATTCTGCCGAAAATGAAGATTCCAATGCATTGCAAGATATTCAGCTCCCGTAACTTGGTGAAGTTTGCTATCCAACTTGGCAATGTCCCCGTCAATTCATTTTCTGCTAAATTCAGCTTTTGCAAATTCGGTGAAAGTCTAAGTAGCCAACCCGGAAGCGGCCCTTTGATTACGTCTTTGCCAACGATAAGCTGGTTAGTTGTCTCAATCCTTACATCCAAGCTGGTATGTTGGTTAGTCCAAGAGGATTAAATGACAAATCCAGAGAAACTATTTCGGGCTTTATATTTAAAAGCTCGGAAGTGATTGGGCCGGTGAGCTTATTTCGAGACAAATTGTCATGATTCTGGGGGTTATTTTGTATTTCCATTAGTATTGGGTAAACACAGTAAATAGCTTTAGTGGGCTTTTCTGCAATTATTGAATTAGCCGCCATTTCTGTTTACTAGAGATTGGGTATTAATTAGGAAATGATTGGCTATAATGAGGGGTGAATGATTAATGATTTGGATTATTCAAGAAACTCTCTCTTTTCCCCAATTGCCCTCTCTTCTCTTCGTCCCCGATTATTCTCCAATTGACTATTCCGGCCTGAATCTTCCATTAATTTTGACGGAACCCCTATATGTGAAAAATTTGTATCCAGAGCCATAGTTCCTTGGCCGTACTTCCGATCATCATGGCGCAGACTCGTTCGAAGAAGGAGAATGAAGATCCTAACCGTCGAACAGAGCAGAAGTTGATAGACGTCGCTAAAGAACTCAGAGCTGAGGCGCAGGTCACGAAGGCTCAATTCGAAGCTAGGTTTGCTCGGAATGATATGGATTTAGCAGAAATCAAAGATTAATTGAAGATCTTGATTGCGGCTACAATTCCAAGAACGGGACTTCTTGGACCCGGAGGAAAAGAGAATCAACCAAGTTCCTCGAGAGATCCACCTCAGGGAAGGGTTACTATTGACGTCTGTGCAACAAAAAACACTGAAATTCAAGAAACCGGTAAGGAAAAGAATAACCGTATACCACTGCATTCCCAGCCTCGATTAGCAATGCCTATATTCACCGGGGATAAACCAAGGGAATGGCTGAGAAAGTGTGACAAATTCTTTACACTGTATCAAGTATCAGATTGCCAAAAGGTTGAATATGTGGAGTTGTACCTTGAGGATGAAGCTGATTCTTGGTATCAATCAATTAGGGTTATTCATCGGCACATTTTTGGAAGGAATTCAGTGAAGAATTGTTGTCAAGATTCGTGGATGTATCAGAGACCAATCCTACGGAGGAATTTAATAAATTGGCACAGACATGAACAGTACAGGAATATCAGGCAAGGTTTGAAGAATTAAGGTCAAGAATGTTGACTATGGATGTCAAGTTACCTGAAAACTACTTCATTCACAGCTTCTTGAGTGGATTGAAGGAGGAGATTAGAACTGCTATTCGGATGTTTGAACCTTCAACACTGATTGCTGCTTTCAAATTGGCTAGGTTATAGGAAAAGAATGTTGAAACTACTCCGAGGAAGCAAAGGGGAACAGCAATACAGGTGAACAGGCCAACTCCTTCTTTTAATCATTCCATTAATGTGCCTAAGACTGCTGATAAGTCCAACAAACCCCTTAATCTGGATTTGATTGAGAGATTAAGCCTTGAGGAATACCAATATCGAGCCAACAACCGTCTTTGTTTCAAATGTGGTAAAAAATTTGGTCCTGGCCATGTATGCAAATACAAGAATTTCAATATTATGATTATGCATGAAGATGATGAGGTTGATAGCAGGGAGGAATTAGATGCTCCTGAACTCTTAATTGATGATGGAATAGACTTAAATGATTTAACTATTGAAGAAGGATCGATCCATGTGTTGTCAGTGGATACTGTGAAGCAAACCATTGTGTTGGTTGGAAAGATTAATGGAAAGAACATCAGGATTTTAGTTGATACTGGCAGTACGGATAGCTTTGTGGACTTACAGTTGGTTAAGGATTGGAAGATGCCTTACAAGGAGACAAATAACTTTACCTTTACTGTTGGGAATGGAAATAAGGTCTCCGGAAATCTGATTTGCCCAAACTTACACTGGAACATCAAAGAATATAAGTTCAATTACAGTTTGAAGATTATGAAATTAGGAAGCTATGACATGATCCTGGGAGTAGATTGGATGAAGCACTTCAGTCCTATTACTTTTGACTTTGATGGAATGGATGTGAGACTGAGGAAATATGGGAGGCAGTGCATTTTGCAAGGCAGTGGTAGTGTTACCAGTTTGAATCTGGTAAGGGACAAGGATTGTTATGAATTTACACATGAAAGAAGGGGAAAATTGATGACAATGCAGTTCAATTCTATCAGTTCCAAAGAAGAAGAATCACATATGGTGGAGATTCCTTTACCTAAAGCTGTTGGTGAGCTATTGGATAAATATTACAAGGTCTTTGAAAGCCCAGATTCACTCCCTCCTGGGAGAGCCATTGACCATCAGATTACCGTGAAACCTGGGGCTCAGCCATTTAAAATTCCACAATATAGATGTCCACATGCCCACAAGGAAGAAATTGAGAAGCAGGTGTCAGAACTGTTACAGCAAGGCATTGCACAAGCAAGTAAAAGTCCCTATGCCTCCCCAGTAATCTTGGTCAAGAAGAAAGATGAGTGTTGTAGGATGTGCGTGGACTACAGGAGACTGAATGATTTAACTGTTAAAGACAAATTTCCTACTCCAATCATTGAAGAATTGCTGGATGAATTATTTGGAGCTACCATTTTCTCTAAACTAGACTTAAGGTCAGGTTATCACCAAATCCTTGTCAACAAGGAGGATGTTCCATAGACTGCCTTCCAGACTCTGCAACATTTCAATTCCTTATGAACCAGGTATTTCAACACCAACTCAGGAAATTTGTATTGGTGTTTTTTGATGATATACTTGTTACAGTTCTTCCCTGGGAGAACATTTGGTTCATTTGGAAACTGTTTTGAGCATTCTTTATGAAAACCAGTTGTATACAAAAAAGAGCAAGTGTGCTTTTGCACAAGAATTAGTAGACTATTTGGGGCATTCAATTTCAGCTAAAGGTGTTAGCATGGATCAACAAAAGGTAGAATGCATTTCTAAATGGCCAGTACCTTCAACAGTTAAAGCTCTAAGGGGATTTTTGGGGTTAACTGGTTACCACAGAAGGTTTATTAAGGGATATGGGCTGATCTGTAAACCTCTCACAAATTTGTTGAAGAAGGATAATTTCTATTGGAACAGTGAAGCTCAGTTGGCTTTTCAGAATTTGAAGCCATGTATGACATCTGCTCCTGTGTTGAGGTTGCGTGATTTTTCAAAGCATTTTGTTGTTGAAACTGATGCTAGTGTCATTGGAATGGGGGCTATATTGATGCAAGAGGGACAACCTGTAGCATACATTAGCAAAGCCTTTAGCCAGCAAAGCAAGGGTTTCTCTGTATATGAAAAGGAGTTAATGGCATTGGTGCTTGCTGTAACCAAATGGAGGCATTATTTGTTGGGGAATCACTTCATAATCAAAACTGATCATCAATCCCTCAAATTTTTACTAGAGCAGAAGGTTATCAACAATTCCAGGCAGCATAAGTGGCTCACTAAAATGCTTGGGTATGACTATGAGATCCCGTATAAAAAGGGAACTGAAAATGGAGCTGTTGATGCACTTTCAAGAAGAGAACAATATTGTCTAAATTCAAAAGGAGAATTAAATGCTATTTCTTCATTACAGCCAGCATGGATGCAACAAATCATCAACAGCTATGATCAGGATCAGAAAGTGATGGATATCATTACTGCAGTTTCCTTACAGACTGATGCCAAGGCTGATTTCAATATGTACAGGAAATTTTGAGGAGGAAGGGAAAGATCTATGTTGTTAATAATCAAGAGCTGAGGAAAGAATTGTTAAAAGCATTCCATTGATCTCCTTTGGGAGGACATTCTGGACAGTTGGTGACACTTCAGAATCTCAAGTCCTTTTTCTATTGGCCTAGCATGAAACAGGATGTGGTTCAGTTTGTTAAGACTTGTGACAGTTGCCAAAGGAACAAGCATGAAAATGTTCCTTACCCTGAATTGTTACAGCCAAATCCAATTCCACAACATACTTGGAGAAGCATCTCTATGGACTTCATAGTTAAATTGCCACCTTCCAATAACTATGATACTATTCTGGTAGTGGTGGACTGACTCACCAAATACGGCCATTTCATTCCATTAGAGCCACCAGTTAATGTAGTCAAGGTTGCTGAGGTGTTTTTCAAGGAGATATTCAAGCTACATGGTCTACCAGATGATATCATAACTGATAGAGATTCCATTTTCCTTAGTCATTTCTGGCAAGAATTATTCCGGTTGCTTGGAACCAAGTTGAAGTTCAGTATTGCATACCACCCACAGACAGATGGTCAAACTGAAAGAGTAAATCAATGTTTGGAGAGTTATTTGAGGTGTTTTTGTTGTGACAAACCCTCAACTTGGAGCCAGTGGATCACTTTAGCTGAGTGGTGGTATAACTCAGTTTATCATTCTAGTATTAAAATGTCTCCTTATGAAGCTTTGTATGGGGAGAAACCACTTCCTTACCCTTTGGGGCCTTTTACTGATAGCATTATACCAACTGCTTCAATGGAAGTACAACAAAGGGCCAGTATACTTAAGTTGTTACTGGAAAATTTGGAAAAAGCTAAGGAGAGAATGAAGCAATTTGCTGATTTGCACAGATTAGACAGGTATTTTTAAGTAGGGGAATGGGTTTATCTTAAACTGCAGCCATACAAACAGACCACCTTAGCTATCAGTTCTCATTCCAAGTTATCTTCCAGGTTTTATGGACCATTTGAAGTAATTGCCAAGATTGGATCAGTTGCTTATCAACTCAGGTTGCCTGATCATGTCCACATTCATCCTGTATTCCATCTCTCTTTGCTCAAGAAGTTTCATGGCAATCATGTGGTGGCTGGACCTCTACCTGACATGACGATCATTAAAGATGGAGCACTACAACCAGAGGAAGTCATTCAGAGGCATTTCATAACAAGGAATGGATCACAGGTTGTGCAGTGGTTGATCAAATGGAAGGGAATGGAGCTTGTTGATTCATCCTGCGAAGATCAAGACTTCATTTCTCAACGGTTTCCAGGTTTCAGACCTTGAGGACAAGGTCCTTGTTAAGGGGAAGGGATTGTCATGATTCTGGGGGTTATTTTGTATTTCCATTAGTATTGGGTAAATACAGTAAATAGCTTGGGTAATATTTGTATTTTAGACAATAAGTGGGCTTTAGTGCAATTATTGAATTAGCTGCCATTTCTATTTACGAGAGATTGGGTATTAACTAGGAAATGATTGGTTGTAATGAGGGGTGAATGATTAATGATTTGGATTATTGCAGAAACTCTCTCTTTGCCCCAATTGCTCTCTCTTCTCTTCGTCCCCAATTATTCTCCGATCGACTATTCCGGCCGGAATCTTCCATTAATTCCAACGGAACCCCTATATGTAACACAAATCTAGTTCCGACAACCCCATATGTGGAATTGGATTGCCTAAGCTTGGAGGAATCTTACCGGTGAAGTTGTTGTTGGAGATATGTAAATATTCAAGATTCGGCATGGTAATTCCCACATCTTGGGGTAACATTCCAGTGAACTTGTTGTTGGTCAAGTTTACCGTCATCATGGAACGATGTTTGCAAATAGATCGTGTGCGACTTTTCCTCGCCTTTCTTTCTTATCTCCTTCTAAAGGAAAAAGGTAATGAATTTGAAAATTACAAACTTCCTTTAATATTATCCCGACTTCATTTTTCCCCGAAAATTGCTTTTTTCTTATGATTCTCCCCATTTCTGTAAAAAGAGTTCTTATGTTAAAGGTGATCATGTTTTCTGGTAAAGTTAGTAAAGGAATGGTTTCTTTCAAAAGAAAAAGAAACGTATAAATGAATGATAATCAAAGTTTCTCTTTCATAAGTTTGCCACATGTCAACCTGTAAATAGAAATTGTGTTTGTTGCACTAGTTTAATTCATGATTCTGTGTTTAATTTTTCCTAATTAAGAAATTATTGTTACGAGTATTAAAATAATTTAAGTGCTTTTTTAAAAGATGGGTGATATTGTAATGGCAATAGTTAACTGCCAAAACAATTGCATTCTCCCAAAATTACCCTAACAGGTCAATGTAAATTCTAGTCTGCTCCAACCCCACTTCTATGATCCTACCTTTTCTTTTTGTCATTTCAATCAATTCTTTTTCTTTTTATTCTCCATCTCTTAATCATAGAATGACTTCCTGAAATCTAGTTTTATCTTAACATTTTTCCCAACTGTTAAATGTCAGAGGCCAGAGCTAACCTTAAGCAATTGATTATTGACAAGAAATTGAAGCAAACTATTAGTATTTTTCTTATTTTTTAATTTGATTTTCTTGAGAAAAAAATTAAAAAGAAATTTCCTTCACTGTCATCCCGAACATTGGAGTTTGGACTAGTTTTATCTACCCAAACATACAAAGGAGAAAATGTTTGCAAATTGAGGTGTATTGGTGTGTGTAAAATTGGACGATTTTGCCCTAATTATGTGCCTAAATTTTCGGTTGCTTGTGTTGGTAGGGAGTGTAAATAGGGGGAATAGTACATGGTTGACCTGGTAAATTTAGCGGGTCGGGGTGGGGAATCAATTGTGTGCCAAAAAGGTGTCGATTTTTGTGGGATTGTTGGTGGATTTCCAATTTTGCCATTGATGGATAGATTTATTACTGGGGTTGTGGTTGGTTACGAGTGCAATTGGCCGTTGAATTTGGATATTATCGGTAGATCCGGGAAAAAGTACGAATGTTCTCAATTATAATTATTTATTTTAACCTTCAATGCATTGAATTGTTGTTATTTAATGTGCCCATGCGCTTGGACAACCCCATGTGCTTCTTCCTAACACAAAAGCAGATCAGTTGTGAATGGAATTCCGTCCCAATACAGATGAATTCAGTCTCGGCTCTCCTCTCTCCTCTTCTTTCATGTTTTCTTCATTCTCTTCAATTACCGTTCTGAAAAACTGTTGCCATGATGGTTGTGGGTCTCAAAACTAGGAGATTAGTCATTGGGATATAATCTGACTGTATGTTGGCTTGGCAACCCCGATGGCTTTGTTGAAGCAACCAGATTTTGCAACCATAGTGGTCTCAGGATCTTTTGGCTCATCTAATTTTTCCAGATCTGAGCTTCAGTTTCGTTCTTTTTTCTTTTTTGCTTGAAAGCTTTTTTGTCGTCTTCTTTTATTAATCTTTGGTCTTGGAATCTTCATCTTCATTCTTTTTCTTTTTTGTAATAAAAATGATTTCGGAACCATATTGCTTCTTCAAAGTCAACCGGCTTCATCAGAATTGTGCAGTCTCTTTCTCATGCTGTCACAGAAAGGTGCTTCTGCTTCTTCTTCCTCCAAGCGCGAGATCTCTTCCACTTCACCTTCTCCTCTCCCAACGGCAAAAGATCCAAGGTTAAGTTTCATTTTAGGGTTCCCGAATTCTCATTACCATTCCTCCTCCTTTTTTGGGTTTGAATTTTATTTAAATTTTTATTGCATGTGAATGGAATTGGGCTTAATACGATTTGTGGTTTGGGAATTAGGCTGCAACGGAGGAGTCTTCGTCGACTAATGAAGTGCCGCAAGAGGGGAATACAAGTTCCGGGAAGGAGTCCGGAAGGGATAATCCGGCAGACCAAGAGGTTTGGTCGTCGGCTAATCTGACAGATGTTGTCAATGATTTGAAACTGATGTCGGATAATTCACTGGAGGGTTCCCGAATTCTCAAACGATCTTTTCTTGCCCATCTGAGCGTTGACCTATAATTCCGGTGAGGAGAGGTCCATATTTAAAGCCACCAATGCCGTCGTGGTCCTCTGTCTTTTTATTTGATTCAAATCAAACCGGGCGAATTTCAATAACGACGACAAGCTATTGGATAGAATCCCTCTTGACGAGTCCATATCCACCAAGGATTATCGGACTGGCCCATCAGTCAATTAGGGCCTAACCGACCTTGCAAAGGCAGTTTGGGAATAAGAACCCTAATGGGATTTGGCTTCCCTCAAGGTAATTCCATGCCTATAAATAGGATTGATCTCACCAAAATAGAGGTACGCATTCTCTAGCAAACCTTACCATTCGCATATATTCTTTAAGCCCTTTTTTGACTTAAGCATCAGAGTGTCTACCCTCGAGAGACTCCCGAGACTCTCTTTTGCAGGAAACCCTAGTCGGAGTTCCACTATCGAACCAACGGAGGCAAACCAAGCTTTGTCAAGTGGCACGGCCAGTGGGACCCGAAAACTAGGGTTTAAAGAATATATAAACAAGTATGGGATGGAGGGAGTAACGTTTATGCAATGTATATAAATAAAACCTGCACATCGTATGGGTTTAACATCTAGTAAAACACTACAAGAAAAAGTATCTATAGTGACACCCTTGTTGTGACACTTTAATATTGATGTCCCAATAAGCTATTATCATGACATTACCAAGTACTCGGGAGATATAGACGTCTCCCAGTGGCTACAGGGTTATTTCTAGGTCATGAGGATCAGGAATGCTTCCTTGAATTTTATGGCCAAAACTCTACCCTCTTACCTAGCCGGGCAAGTACAGCGGTGGTTTGGGCAGTTACCAGAGGGAAGTATAATCAGTTTGGAGGACTTATTGGTCAAATTAGCAACTCGTTTCTTTCAAAGTAAACAAATCTCTAGAATGTCCATTGACCCTTGATCAAGCAGGGTCAACATGAAAGTCTCTCAGACTTCCATCGGTGTTTCATCCGTGAAACCTTACAAGCCGACAACATAGATGAACAGGATGTCTGGAATGGTTTTATTCAAGGGCTCAACCCATTTGGAAAATCCTCAATGCTAAGAGTAAAACTCTCGACTAAACCTCTTAGGAACTCCCAAGAGATGTGGGCTACTGTCAATAACTATATTCAACGAGAGGACACACTCAAGAGATCACAAGAGTCTCTCTCGGCAACAGGGCCAAGAGACAAACCAAGGACAACACAAAAAGTAGGACAACATTACCTAAACTCGATAGGCAGTTAACGCCTTTAACTAAACTACACCGGGAGATCCTCCAGATTCACAAGGACGAGTTACCTACCCCAAAACTTCTAGCACCCAACCTAAACAAGTCAACAAAACAGTATTGCGAATATCACAAAGACCACGGCCATGATACTGAGGATTGTTGAGAACTCAAGAGGGAAATCGAGAACGGAGTTAAGTCTGGAAAATTCCAACAATATGTGCAAGGACCTCCTCGACAAAGAAACAACAAACCTGGCATATCCCGAAACTTTCCTAAACAAAATTTCAGGGGCCCTCGAGGGGAAAGCCGTGGGAATAACTTGCAACTGAGGAACAATACACAACAACTTCCTCAACAAACTATCGAGGGAGCCCCACAACCGCTCCAGCACATCCCTCTGGCAGATCCAACCAAACAGATCAATCACCTAGCGGGTGCAATTTTCGGAGCTCCTCTCGAAGTTTTGTCTACCACAGCCATGAGAAACTCAGTAGGAACCGCAACAAAAACTCTCCGTCAAGAACCTAGTCACAAAAGGTTCAAAGGAACAGAAGCCATAGTTTTCACTGATAGCAACATAGTCCCAGATATCTATCCACACAGTGATGCCATGGTCATCGAGATGATAATCGGAAATGTACAAGTCAGTCGGGTTTATGTGGACGATGGCAGCGTGGTGGACATCATCTACAGCGATTGTTTCAAAAAAATGAACATTCAAAACTCTAACATCCGCCTGGCAACAATGCCATTAATCGGCTTCTCAGGCCACACTATTATCCCTACCGGAATCATAAGTCTCCCCATCACGGTAGGGTCGCATCCAAGAATGGTTACACTAACCATGGATTTCGTCTTCATAGATGCACTCTCGCCGTTCAACGTGAAGCTGGGATGGCCCTGGATGTGCCATGCCCGGGCAATTTGGTCTCCTTACCACCTAGTGATGAAATTTCCTACAGAAAATGGAGTTGGAGTAGTTGCAGGGCTACCAGTGCAGTTCTCTAGAATGCTTGCTCACGGCTACCAAAATCAGGAAGAAAGCCATAAAGTCCAACCCGAGCACTGCCATTTCAGAATGCTACTCGGTCCAGCAAGCCAAATTTCAATCATAGTCAGAGGATTGCGACGCTAACTGCCTGCCACCACTTAGCAGCAAAACACAGGAGCTCGTTCTCAACGATAAGGATCCCTCCAAGACCATCCAGATAGGTATAACACCTCAGGAACAACTGCTAGTCGAGGTAATCACCTTGCTACGCGAGTTCCATGATATATTTGCCTGGTCACCAACAGATATGACAGGGGTACCACGAGATATTATTGAACATCGGCTGAATGTTGATCCCAATGTTAAACCTGTATAACAGAAAAAGAGAATATTTGCTCGAAACCGCAATGACGTCATCAATGAAGAAATGTTGAAGCTGGTTTGCTTTAATATCCTTCGGGAAGTCCTTTGGCCTACCTGGTTAGCTAACCCAGTCCTGGTATGAAAGTCTGATAACTCTTGGCGCATGTGCCAAGACTACACGGATCTCACAAACATTGCCCCAAGGACTGCTATCCCTTGCTCATCATAAATTAGATGGCCGAGGGTATCATGGGGTACAGGACCCTCAGTTTCCTTGACGCCTATAAAGGATACCACCAGATCCTCATGCTGCGAGAGGATGCAGAAAAGACAGCTTATATCACCGAGATCGGAGTATATTGTTATGACAAAATGACTTTTGGCTTGAAAAATACCTGGGCAACCTATCAGTGCCTTGTCAATCGAGCGTTCCATGACCAGATTGGCCAAAACATCGAGATATATGTCGACGACATGGTAATCAAGAGCAATAAAGATGAGCAAGTAGTCAAAGATATGCGCGAAATGTTCTTGATTCTCCGCAAGATAAATGTGAAACTGAATCCGAAAAAATGTGCCCTCTACGTAGGGTCGGGTAAATTCCTAGGGTACCACGTCTCCAAGGATGGGATCACTGTTGATCCGGCAAAAATCGAATCGATCCTAGCCATGGAAGCCCCGAAGGACGTCAAGCAAGCTCAGAAACTTACAGGGTCCCTGGCAGCCTTGAACAGATTCCTATCTCGAGCCGCAGAAAGAAGCCTCCCATTCTTTCATACACTCCGGAAGGACCATCTCAATAGCTGCCTATATTGGCCAAGCCGGAATTGGGCGAGACTTTATATGTATACCTCGCCGCTCGAGAAAAGACCATCTCAACCATCCTAGTCCAAAACAGGGACGACAAGAAAATCCATGTTTACTTTGTTAGTAAAGTATTGCAAGGCACAAAGACACAATACACGCCCATGGAAAGACTTATCTTGAGTTTGGTTATGGCCACTCAACGCCTGCGACCATACTTTCAAGCACATCCGATACAGGTGTTAACAGCGCAACCCATTCAGCAAGTCCTTCTCAAGCCAGAAGCTTCCGGTAGAATGATGAAATGGGTAGTCGAGTTAGGAGAGCACCATATCGAGTATAAGCCCAGAACAGCAATCAAAGGCCAAGCTTTTGCAGACTTCCTTGTAGAAATGCCTCGAACTAATGACGTCCCAAAAGCCCCAAAGCCTAAGAGTCACCCTACGGTCCGCGTCAACGTCAATCCTCGAGCTTAGACATTATACGTCGACGGCTCCCGTCGTGACGAGGGAGGAGGAGCCGACATCATACTAGCAAAACCTTCAGCCAATCCAGAAATCGAGAACATGAAAGAGTGAGACGCAGAATACACTTACGCATTGAGATTTGGATTCCCAGTCACTAACAATGTGGCTGAGTATGAAGCACTAATAGCATGGTTAAATATGGCTCTAAAGCTGAGGGTTCAAAAGATCCGAGTTTTTAGCGACTCTCAAGTAGTAGTAAATCAGATCAAACAAACCGTCGTCACACTAGTCAAATAATAGTTACCTACTTAATACAATTACTAGTAGTAAATTAGCAAGTAGGGTCGATTCCACAGAGAAGGAATATTAATTACCAGGTATAAGTTACTCCTATTATTATCTAGATAAATGATGATCTCAGATTTATAAAATTCTAAAATAAATAAAATAAAAAACAAATAATATTAATTCAAATAATCAGACAAAGAAAACCTGGGACATTGGGTTCACCAACCGAATATTTGGTTTAGTTCAATTCACAAAGATCTGACTTTTAACTTCCATAAATCTCACAACGATTCACCTAATTAAGAACTATACACTCTCGCGCTATAATTCTCTTACTTAGGTTAACCCTATGACTACTCTCGTGACTATAGGGATTAACAAAAGCACATTAAGACCATTAAGAATCAAACATTGCATAGGTTATAATCTTACTCTCGTAGCTTACGCCCTAAGTTTATTATTCCTACGAACTAATAATAATCTTCCACTCTCGCTACTTCGATTAGTATCTTCAGACATGCAAATAGTGGCCAATTACTTACACGAATTAAAACAAGAATAACAAATATTAATTAATGGAAAAGTCAAATAATAATAAACTAAATACACCAAATAAATCCGGTGGCTACACCCAAGCCCTAGGTTACAGAACTTTAGCCTATAAACATTATTAAAATTGATGATGCAATAATAATAATATTCGTAATCCAAAATTCTGAAAATAAAATTAAAATTAGAATAGGGAACCCGGTAAATTTCCGCCGAAGTGACCAAAACTAATGATCAAATCGAGGGTGCTGCTTGTTTGGTTCTTCCATGTTCGAATTCTTCTTGTCCTTGGGCTGCTGCTGGTGCG